AGATGTGTATAAGAGACCTGCATGCACTTTCAGTACTTGTGTACTGTTTTTCAAAGTGGTACAGTTACATAAAATACAAAAGTTAAAAGAAAATATATAAGTAGATATCATATATACAATAAGTGATTAAGAATTAAAAGAGTTTTTAAAAAAATATAATAGACATGTCCATGAAATTTGTTGTTGTTTCGTGTGGAAGTTCATTCCACAACTTTGTTGAGCAATACAAAAAAGTTCTCTTGCCTTGACAGTTATTCCATTGTGGTACAATAAGGTTATTATGAGATTGACTACGTGTACATTTTGAATGGGATTCGATATTAAATTTAAATTTAGATGATAAATGGCGCATATCCTTTTAAACATTTAAAAGTCATTAAGGCTAACTGCTCATTCCACCTTACATGTAGTCATTTCCATGCAAGTGAACTTAAATCAACGGAAGTATATATATCAACAGACAAAACAATTCTACTATTACTGTTCATTTGAACTTGTAAACAATTAGAATATTGAACATTACAATTGGACCAGACACAACAACAATAATCAAAAAGAGGTAATACTAAGGACTTGGCTAGCATTTTAAGAGTATGGGGTGGAAGTAGGTATTTTATATGGTGGATGACACCAATATGCTTAGACAAATTTGAAGATAATTTATTTATGTGGTCTTTCCAGGTTGGTACAGGATCAAAAGTTACACCTAAGTATTTAAAAGAATCAACTCTTTCAATAATATCACCATTCAAATTAAGTGAAATATCTTTAAATTTAGGAAGAATGTAGTTTATTCCAAATAACATTAATTTTGTTTTCTTTATATTAATAATTAATTTATTTTCATTGAACCAGTCAGCTATTTTAGTCAAACAAGAATTGAGTGAGTTCTTGTTGTAGAGTGACTGGGTCAGATGAGTTACAAAGTATAGTGGTGTCATCTGCATACATAACAACTTTACAGGACATTACATCAGGTAGAGAATTTACATAAATTAAAAATAGTAAGGGACCCAAAATAGATCCTTGTGGTACACCAATATTGAGATTCATGAGATTAGACTGACTGGAGTTAATAAAAACCGCTTGTGATCTGTCATATATGTATGATTTAAACCATTGTAGCTCAATATCATCAATTCCATAATAATTTAACTTTTTTATTAGTAGTCCATGATTAACTGTATCAAACGCTTTCTTAAGATCCAGAAATATAGCAGCAGTAGCTTTTACTAAATTAAAATTATTTAGTATGAAGTCAGACATATCTATTAGTGTTAGTAGAATTTTTCTTTCTGAATCCTGATTGACATGAGTTGATTAAGTTGTTAGTAGTCAAATATTTATACAGTTGATCATGAACTGCTCTTTCTATTAATTTTGAAACTATTGGCAAAACAGAGATTGGTCTATAATTGCTTGGTTCAGCTTTATCACCGTCTTTGTAAATTGGGGTTACTTTGGCTTTTTTCCATTCTGAGGGGAAGGTTGAAGAAAACAAAGATAAATTACATATAAATGCAAGAGAATCACAAATCACTGGTGCCGCCAGTTTCAATAATTTACAATCAAGTTCATCAAAACCTGAAGCCTTGTTGCAAGAAATTTTACAAATTTCATCAAATATATAATCTGGTGTTATAAGATCAAATTCAAATTTACTGTTAATTTTATAACTTTAAAATAAGAGTTAGTACTAGAGGGATTATTTGAAAATTTAGATGTAAGTTTATTACCAATTGAGGTAAAGTGCTCCTTTAATTTATTTGCTGTATCTTTATCACAAGATGTATAGCCATTATTTTTATATACTTTTACCTAATCTGACTACATTTTTAGGAATTAGTTTGTGAATAGTGTTCCAGAGCTTTTCGGGGTTTTTAATACTTTCTTTTATTGAAGTTGAACAGAATTTTCTTTTAAGTTCTCTATTTAAGTTGTTTAATATATTTCTAAGTGATTTTTCCCAGTCTTTAATTTCATTTGTCTTGTTAATAGGATGGGTGTGTTAAATTGGATCAAAAGGAACAAATTTGCATCAGTTGGCATTGGTTTGGTGATGTTTCATCTTGGTGTATATCAGTGGGGTAAGTCAGCCTTTTCTTCTGAAAAACGATTGACATCATCATCTTTCAACTCCGAATCGTATGGTGGGTTATACTCTGAGAAACATGAAACCAAAGACTAATTAATAAGGTAAGCATCTTTAAACCAGTTTTGCAGTAAATTTTATTTTTTTGTTGAAGCCCACCTTCCCCCATTAATTTAGCAATGTTTTTGAAAATAATTTTCATTATCAATGTTCATTTTTAATATTAACTGAACAATAGATTGATGACATTAAATTTGTTTTATTTATTTATCAGAATGAGTAGAACAGATATTGTAGCAAGTGTTCCTTCTCCAAGTCTCGTAGAGTTTTCAACTTTAGATGATGCGAATAATCAATTTGGTCTTGCCACGTTTAGAAATCTAGTAAAATCATGCTATGGACCCAATTCTCGTTTAAAGACAATTCAACATCATAGTGGTGGGCAAGTAATGTTGACATCCAGCTCTTATGATCTCTTAAAAAGTCTACCAATCAGAAGGCCGTTTCTCAGACTTTTGGTTACTGCTGTGACAGAACACTTGCGACTGTTTAATGATGGAGGCTTGTTTGTAGCAGTTTTGGCCTCTGAACTTTTGTCTGTTTGTTGTTGCTTTAATACTGATAGACTTCCAAGAATATTGTGTTGTGATGTAAACAGCATTATGTTGGATTGGTGTAATCACTTTGTGAGTACCTCCAAAGAGTGCAGAATTCATGTAGACATCAGTAATATGAGCCAGATGATGGCTGTGATTCGATCGATAATTTCCACCAAACCTGCCTGCAGTTTTACCAGCAGAGATATCTCCCATGTTTCGGGTTTAATCTTGCAGGCTTTTCTGAAAACGTTCCCAACATCTGGCCATCTGAGATCCACCCAGCAGGACATCTATTACATAGATGTGCCAAGCCAGGATACACAGAACTCACGAATAATAGATGGTGTGCTATTCCAGCTTCCAAACGATATTCCTGATAAAATTCTTCCACCTGGGTCGAGATTCACCTCTAATACCAGCCCATTAAAAGTAGCTCTGTTTAACATCTCATTAGCAGGTGACACTGGTGAGGTTCTTGAAGTCAGATGTGAGGTTTCAGACGGACTTACTCCAATGTGTGTTGTCACTGAACAGTTGTTTGACATTGCACAGAGATTGCTTGACGATGGTGTCAGTGTTTTGGGATGCCAGAAAGTGATCCATCCAAGTATTAAAAAGTTCTTGAAAAAAAATGGAGTGTTGGCAATTGACCGCCTTTCTATTCTCAATATTGCTGCTGTTGAGAAACTTTCAGGTATAGTTAATTGATATTTGGAATTTGTATTATTTATTTAGAGAGAGCAGCTTTTCTCAATCGGCTAATCTGGTGGTAGCCATTATGTGTGCGCTGAACCGTGGAGATCTCTAGGTCCCCGGTTCAATTTCTATTGCTGCCTCTCATTGTGTTTCAGCTGGAGGGCTGAAATACAAGTTATGATAGCACACCGTCTTTCGGATGAGACGTTTAAGCCGTTGGTCCGGTGTGCATTTATGGCCCATGCGCACGTTAAAAAATGACACTCTTCGGAAAAGAGTAGGGGATTGTCTCCCAGTGTACTACCACCAGAAGGACCTGGAAATAAGTCTTCGAGACTTTCGTGGGCTATCCTTGGTGTTTACATCGAATAAATCCAATCCAATCCAATATCAGAATTGTGTGTTAGTGATCATGAGTGATAATGATAGGTGATCATTATCAATATTTATTGTTGAATAATAGTATCTATAAAAAACAGAAAATCATTAAAAATGTACAACAATCTCACAAAACATGACACATAGTTAAACTACAGTGGCCATTCGAGTCATTAGAGAACATAAAAATAGGCTCCCAGTAGCAGCATTTGTCTACTGATTGACATTTTTTTTTTTTTTGGCTACTTATAACTCATCCAACATTTTTGGGAGCTTCGCCACCAGGACCAATTTCAAAATACTTTGGCGACCCTCGACCACGCACACTCTTTGCTCTTGTCGGAGAAATCTGGGACCCCGTCTGTTTGGCAAATCCTGGCATCCACCCCTCATAATTAATAGGGCCTAGTCTATTAGTCTCTCCACTAGCCTCGCTACACTGGCTAGGGCTGCTACGATTTGACAATGTACTGCACGGTGGGCCAGTGGCAGATATCAGCATGGGCTAACCTATAAACTGAAGAAATGTAAACTAAAACTCAAAGGAAAAAACAAAGCCAAAGGGAAATGTCAAAACAAATTTCATCTACCATAATAATACTACTTATAGTAACACATTAAAATCAGTAGCTCTGTCTAGGCCTACCTACAGTACATAGAACTTGCATTTGACATTACAGAGCAATAAAATAAAGTCAAGTAATTTTGTTTGGTTTTGTCATGCGGTAGAATCATAGCCTTGTATTATTTGATCGGATGTGGTTGCGAAATTATTCCTGAACGTTGATTGGTCGTCGGCACATGATCAAAGTTGTCGGCTCACAGGCCCGTATTTAGGGGGGATTCGGAGGTTCGTCCGATCCCCCCAGTGGGAGATGGAGTTCCGTGAAAATTAGGAAGATTTTTTCATTGCCGTTTTATTCTGTAGGCCTACAAAAGCGGGCTAAAACAAAAATAGTACATACATGTAGTTAGGGATCCCAGGCCAACTATTTAAAATGAATCTTGGAGAATTTGATTTAGTTTACTAATGAAAGTTACTATTATGATAAAATTGAAAAAATTATGATAAACGATGCTTATTTCGTTAATTACAGGAAATTAAAGTTAATTAATTAGGATCACGAAATAAACAAAGTCTACCGCCCCCAAGGGAATAATTATGAAAAATGACGTCATTTTTGCTAATTAAAAGCGCTAATTTATAAGAATCTAAAACTAGTAAATCTTTCGTACAGCATAATTGTTTTATTAAATGTTTTTAGTGTCTTATTATAAAATAATGCTTTAGCTCAATAAATCAACGATAAAATTAGCGTGGGAAGGAGGGTCACATGACAAATTGATCCCGCAAAACTTTGGTAATTTGCTTTCACATCGAACAGCACGCGTGAATTTTGTCTGTTCACTTTTCTAAGTGCGGTACGTATTTTCCGGACCAAAACCGAGTAAAAACGCAATTGTTTAAACATTTCGTA